TAGCTTTGCGTGAAATTAAAAAAAAAAAAAGTTGAAGAATTTTGGCTTCGGTGTTAAGTTTAAGATAAGTAAATAACGTTGACTTTTCATTTATGTTGTGTTGTAGATATTTCATCCAATACATTCAATAAAACGAACAACAGTATACTTGAGTATGGAAGCACATTATGCTACTATAGTAATAAATTGTCAAACAACGATTTATAATGAAAGGGTTTGTTTATATGATAGAAACAGAATTTACATAATAGCATAAAAATACATATTTCTTAGAACTGTGGTTTTAGGTGGAGTGCTGACTTTCTCTTTCTTCAGGAACTGATGTCCAGTTCTCACAACAATCGAGGAGTGGTCATCACTGGTGGTCCAGGTTCAGGAAAAACAAGTCTTATTCTACAACTTGTGGACTACAGCAGTTTCGGTAGAAGAAGGGAAGACAGTTCTTACTACAGTAAAGGTTTGTTGTAAAGTGTAATAGCTTTAATTAGAAGGAAGGACAGTTCTTACTACAGTAAAGGTTTGTTCGATAGTGTAATAGCTTTAATTAGAAGGGAAGGACAGTTCTTACTACAGTAAAGGTTTGTTGGACAGTGTAATAGCTTTAATTAGAAGGGAGGACAGTTCTTACTACAGTAAAGGTTTGTTGGACAGTGTAATAGCTTTAATTAGAAGGGAAGACAGTTCTTACTACAGTAAAGGTTTGTTCAATAGTGTAATAGCTTCAATCAGAAGGGAAGACAGTTCTTACTACAGTAAAGGTTTGTTCAATAGTGTAATAGCTTCAATCAGAAGGGAAGACAGTTCTTACTACAGTAAAGGTTTGTTCGACTAAACAGTTATGTAACATTTAGATAAAAGAGTTAGCACAAAGGATCACATATAAAGTGTAACAGACTAAAATAAGACCCAAAACTCGAGCGCTTTCTTCAGGAGAACAAAGAATAAGAATAGTCAACTATTCGAAAGCGCTCGAGTTTTGGGTCTTATTTTAGTCTGATACAGCTATGAAAAATTGTATACATTCTGTAACTTCTTTTTAACATAACTAATACAGAAGTAGATCATGATTTTGATATTACATTTTGTTTTCTAAAATAAAAGAACAAAAAAGACTTCTCAGTAGATGGAGACTTTTTAAATTGAAGATCAGATGTTATTTGTTTTGAATTTCGCCCAAAGCTACACGAGGGCTATCTGCGCTAGCCGTCCCTAATTTAGCAGTGTAAGACTAGAGGGAAGGCAGCTAGTCATCACCACCCACCGCCAACTCTTGGGCTACTCTTTTACCAGTGAATAGTGGGATTGACTATCACATTATAACGCCCCCAACGGCTGAAAGGGCGAGCATGTTCGCTGTGACGGATATTCGAACCCGCGACCCGCAGAGTGCGAGTCGAACGCCCTAACCACTTGGCCATGCCTAAAATCTGTCTGTCATTAAGTACAAACCTGCACAATGGGCTATCTGTGCTGTGCCTATCACGGATATAAAAACACTGTTTTTAGCGTTATGAGCCTTCAGACTTAACACTAAGCCACTGGGAGGGTAAATAAAAATAACTTACCAAATATTTTAAGATTCATACAATAATCAAATCCTAAAGAAAGAGAAAAATCTTATAAAAGAAAAATACGTTCTTAGCTTTCAAAGTCTTTGTGTTTTTATTGGAAAGGAATAAACTTTTTTATAAGGAAAAGTTAATTCTTTCCCACTAAAATTCATTTTTAATTAATCCTCACGAATTCCAAGTCTGTAGTCTGTAGTTGTTAATGGTCTTCAAACAAAAACATAGGTGCCAATCCATAAGACGCTTGTTTTCTTAATCCTATCGCAAATGAATTTTACAAGAAATTAAAGTCAGTTTACAGTCAGTGTCATACACCTGTTATGATGTTAAATAGCGCAATTCATAGAACTTGGGTCACGCCCTAATGATTAACTGACGGATTGTGGATTCAAGAGTCCATGGTCCGTGTCCCGATGCTGCAAAATCGCGCTCCTCACTTTTGAGGCCTGGGTGCGTTTATTGGAATGGTAGACAAATTCCGCTATTCGATTAGAGTAGCCAGAGGGTGGGTAGTGTTGACTAGCAGAGTAGCCAGAGAGTGGGTAGTGTTGACTAGCAGAGTAGCCAAAGAGTGGGTAGTGTTGACTAGCAGAGTAGCCAGAGAGTGGGTAGTGTTGACTAGCAGAGTAGCCACAGAGTGGGTAGTGTTGACTAGCAGAGTAGCCAGAGAGTGGGTAGTGTTGACTAGCAGAGTAGCCAAAGAGTGGGTAGTGTTGACTGGCAGAGTAGCCAAAGAGTGGGTAAGTGTTGACTAGCAGAATAGCCCAGAGTGGGTAGTGTTGACTAGCAGA